ACAACTCCGTACGGCAAACCAAATAGGTCACTTGACACAGTGGCGTTTGGCAAAGCACAAAAAGAACACTAAAAAAACCGAGAGAGATGAGTTATTGTTATTAAATGTGACTTCACTTTATTTAACAACTCTTTTTATTGGGTTCTTTTATTTGGGGTTCAGTTCATTGTCAGAATGAGAAATGGATTTAACTTCTGTTAGACAGCTATATGCCAAACATGTCTGCATACATTCACAGTAAATATCTATTCAGTGTGATAGCTGTCTAACAGAAGTTAAATTCATTTCTCACTTATTCTGACAATGAACTGAACCCCAAATAAAAGAACCCAATAAAAAGAGTTGTTAAATAAAAGAGAAGTCACGTTGTAATAACAATAACTCATCTCTCTCTCGTTTTCAGCTTTGCCAAAAGCCACTGTGTCAAGTGTCCTTCTTGGGTTGCCGTCCGGAGTTCTCCAATATGGCGAACCATCTCGCACATGGGCACTGCAGATCGGGCAGGGCTGCAGATCGGGTAGTGACAGACACGACGCTCACCGACGGCCTGACATCTATCGCCATCTACCGACGGCCGAAGTCGGCTTGGTGTGTCAGGACCTTTGAGATCATGAGGGTTTGGGATGTGGGGCTACGAGGAAAGAGGAAAGAGGAAAGAGGAAAGAGGAAAGAGGAAAGAGTTCAGCTTATATTTGGGAACACGGACACAGCGTGACTTACTGATGTGAGACGAGCGCAGTTTTTTCACAGACTCAGAATAAAGGTTAGACAGTCGAGACATGCAAGACGTCTCAGAGGGATCGTCTTTATCAAACTCACTCACTTACAAACAAACAAACAAACAAACAAACAAACAAACAGAGAAAGACGTGAAAACCAGTCAAAAGGAAACGTCTCAGAGGACCGGCTGCTGGATCTATGAACAGTAAACATATTAGATTATTTAAATAATATTCCTTCAGAGTGCGAGCACCACCCATCATCTAAAGCCTGAGTAAGCATTCTCCTCTCTCTCTATACTGTGCAGAGATCTGTTTATTTCTCCTGATCCGTCACACATGATGCATTCAGGGACCGTCAGAAAGCGGAACGTCTCACAATAACTTTCTGGTAAAAACAGAATCCAGAAGTTTTAGTAAGTCTTCCATCAATCACATATTTGGTTAATATAACTCATATCATTTTATTATTAGTTATAATTAATTATTTTGAAGACATTTAAAGCCTTTTTAAAAGATTTATAATGAAAATATAAAATACAAATGGTTAATTCAGCAGCAGGCCGTGAGACTGAAATCAATAAACAGAAATACAATCTAAAGTAAAAGACAGGAAACAGAGACAAGCCAAGAAACATTAAACATGTCTGTGATTAATATTGAAAGGAGCTGCAGCTGTTCAGAAGGATTTAGCAACACGAACACATCTAATAATAGATATGAATATATTATTGTGGGGCTCCTCTCACCTGTGGAGGTGTGCCTGGTCTTGCGGGGGGATCTGGGCTGCCTCAGGTGAGGGTCTGCTGGGCTGCAGAGCTCTGGTATTCCCATGTTGAGGAGCAGAGTCTTCTGGAGGAAGTCCACCACAGCGAGGCCGCTGCTGTTCCCAAACACCACGCTGAGCGCCGGGGGGGTTTAGGGACATTCATATTGTTTTAATTTAGCCATGATTTACAGTTCCTACAAATTAAGGCATTTTACTTTTAAGACTTATTAAGCTTTTAAAATGCCATTAGGGAACATTTAAGAGGCTTTCATTTCTGAG